AATTTGAAATTTTTCGACACCCCTCGTATCTCAGTTATCTTATAACTTATCGAAAAGTTAGTCCTGTCCCATAGAGTTTTTCACGTAAAATCCAGTGGAGTAATTATTTTATCTCTAAAATATGTCATCATTTAGAAATATCACTGAAACTTATGTTTTTTAAATGGGCCACCCTGTATATTTCTGTTTTATTGTATTTGCCTTTTTATGGGTTATATATTATACTGTATGTCTAGTTAGTTTCAACTCATTTTCACAAATAAGGTAAAAAATGCGTTATTTAACTTTTTAACAAAAATCAACCTAGTTTAAAAGAGTTCTTTGATTGATTTTATTCTATTTAACCAGATAATTATTTTGTTTACTATCGTTTATCTTAATGAACTGCACTGAAAATTAACTTCAAGCTGTCAATAAGAGTTATTGATGTTATTTTGATGCACTTGTGCATTAATTTCACACAGAAATTAGCGTGAAATGGGCAGTAACCAAAATTTGATGTAGGATCAATTTTTCGATTGTTAGGAAGTGGGAAGTAGGAAGTACTCGTAGGGTGTATATTATATTTTTAGAAAACTCGTAACAAGGCAAATAAGCTAAAAAATAATATACAGGGTATCCGATTACAAAATTGTCTAGTTAAATTAAATAAAAATAAAATAATAATACTTGAAAGAAGACATACAGGGTGTCTCAAAAACAAGTTTGGGTCATATTTCAAAAATGATAGCGACAGGGTCATATTTCAAGAATGATGAGACACTCTGTACATACATACTATTTAAATAAGAATTATGGCACCCGTGTTTGCTAAATTTCATGCAAATAATTTTCGCGTTCTTTGTTTGACGAATCAATTACGTTTCTATATAAAGCCCAGTCTACATATAACGATTTACCTGCCAGTTAAAACGGAAGACGGTCTTGAGAACTGACGGCGATTCTGCAGACAGTCTTCCTTCACAAGATCTGTGCATATTAACATACACGTATGGTTTCCGGAACGTATAACGTTTTGAATCCGAAAAAAATAAACTCCCTGGCAGAAAATTACGCCACTTCCAGCCGTTTTTATTTATTTTTCTCACTCTGTATGTACAGGATGGACCATTTTGGTTGTTTCTATAGGGTATCTAGGAAACCGTGAGAAATATTCAAATTTTGATACTGCAGTCTGGGGTTCTTTTTTTGAAGAAATTATAATGGCGCAAACGGATCGTGGCTATCTTGATCGGTTTCGAAGATACAGGGGGATTCTCAAATTTTGTACTTTTTGAAAATGTTCGATAGTTTGTTTATTTCATCAACCACGGAAAAATGAATTATACATTCTAAAGGCACTTTTCTGTGTAGAATGCAGTGGCGTAGTCAGACTTTTTTCGAAAAAAATATTTTTTGAGATATTAACTATACTTATGTTTTTTTTTTAAATAGAACCCCCTGTATATTTTTAAATTTCCTTATTCAGCTTGGCATGGGCTTCTCGAAAATATATAACACTCTATATTTATTTTCACTATTAACCTCAATATTTCAAATTTTTCTTAAAATATCCACTTAGTGGATAGTAGGCCGCGCCGGTGTGGTGATCGGAACATACCTTTGATGGATGCGGGACATTTCATTTCAACAGATTGAAGTGTGTATATTATAAATAATAAAAAAATTAGTATGAGGAAAATTGAATATTGATTTTCTTCATCTTCTTTCTGATAATATTTTGAGACGCAGTTTTTGAAAAGATCCAAAATTGATTAAAGTGTCTTCTAACCTTTTAAAAATGGCTGGGTAACCAAACCCAGAGCGCGAGCAACCACTCAAAATATAAATCAGCTGCCATTTGCTTATGTTTGTTAGACTCAATATAACATTCAAACATATTATATTTCTCAAAATTTTCAAATTTACTCATTTTTTATTATTTAAAATACATCAATCTGTTGAAATGAAATGTCCCGCATCCATCAAAGGTATGTTCCGATCACCATGACAACCGTTTACCTTGTTCCTCGGCGCGGCCTACTATCCACTAAGTGGATATTTTAAGAAAAATTTGAAATATTGAGGTTAATAGTGAAAATAAATATAGAGTGTTATTACCCTGCTATGATACCCTGTGTTAATACCCTGTATTAAGAGTCTATTACCCTGTACTGTTCGGGTCGCTCTCAGGGGTTGTGTAAAGCGGGTGGGTGGCCGAAATAAATATATATTCAGAAATACCTAGGCTTATTAGGATTTAGGCTTAGCCCAATCCTGTCGTGTTAAGCCACACCCAAAATTCCAAACTCCAAACACACGTGTTTGGATTAAGGCTTGATTAAGGCATAGTATAAGGAAACTAGTAGATTTACTCCTTGTCAAATCCTTTGTTCTTTATCTGCCACTTTATATGACCTTGTTCTCGCCTCCCGTGACCACTGACGTAGCTGTATAGTTGTGGTCTATTAACTAGGCAAAGTATAGTGGTGGCACTCGTCGTAGTTTCACAGATATGTATTTAGAAAAATATGAGTTCCCAATAAAATAAAATAAAATAAATTGATCATCGAGTAAAAACTTGCTTGAAAACAGAATGTTTTCACATTTCGTGTAGGTAACAATTCTTCTGTATCTGAAAATCTTCTGATGACTTCTGATGATTCTATAATGATTCTATAATGACATATTTTTATATTATTATCTATTTCAGAGATTTTCTACAATTTTTTTTTGATTTAAAACAAGTTTAATTTTCTGTAGATAACTGGATTCTATTTAAAGCACACTGCGGTGTTGCCATTCTATTTCTTATTTACTAAAACTTTGGTTAAAAACGTTATATATGAAAAGTGGCAAAAAACTAGAGTGAATATAACTTTATTAATACTTAGCTATGTTTTCTTAAACATGACAAGGACACCAGAATAAATTCGTGTAGAAAAATTTACTTTATCGTATACAGGGTATTTTTTATGGCGTCACCAAAATCGTAATATTTAAAATGTTGTATCTCATTTTTTTTAAATGCAACACCTAGTATATTATTTTTCTTTCAGATGTAGAAGTAAAAAGTGAACATTTTTTGTATTTAAAGTGTTCTAATATTACATTATTCTCTATATAGAATAATGTATATAGAATGATGTAAAATAATTAAAAAGAAAATAAAATTAACTTTACCATAACTTTTTTGTGACACCCTGTATATAACAAAATATTTTAGGATACGACCCTTTATAAACCTTGAAACATATGAATAAAACTTTTTTCACATCTTCGACAAGAACGACGATATTGGACTTCCTCGCAATAATGGACCACCCTGTATATTTACGATGGTTTAAAGCTAGGTGTGGCACTTTTCTTCCCTCAAATATAAACTCAATATTTTGTCTATAATATTTTGAATATTGTTATATTACGACCACTTATAATAAAAAATAAATAAAATAGAAAAAAAACATAAAAAATACAGTCCACTAAATTTATAATAGATTATGCTATTATAAAATTCTTTCATTTAAAAAATATGAATAATTTGCGGAGACTTTAGATGTACAAAATATTTACTCTAAAATTGTTTCAAAAACCAATCTATATAAATTATCTCGTAAATTATTATTTGAATGAAAATTTTATGGCAAATCCCCTGGCCAAAGAATATTTTCATGCGCATATTTCAGACAACCTGTATATCTAAAAAACTATTTCTAAGATTTGCACACATGCTAAAAAAATAATAACATTTAATTAATTACATAATATCTCAGCTTCTAAAATAAACAAATATAATTAAATGTTTATTGATAATTACTATCAGCTTGCCGATTTACATCCGATGGAAATCTAAAAAAACTCAAAGAACAATTTTTTGAATTATTACTACAATTAATAGCAGCACACAGTAAGGTACTCATTTTTTGTCAATCCGTCTCTGTGCTGGGACGCAACGCTGGAACCTCGCAGCTCGACGGACGGAATTCAACTGAAACGCTTTGCAAGCTGCCGATATTCGACAGCTTGCAAAAACTGGCAGAAAATATTTGCGAGAGTGCAACTACTCTTTTCCTTAAACTATGATTAAGGTTTGCAGAGTTTCGGCATTTGCCATAAAACAGCAATTTGTTACAAAACCATATATATTATATATCACTGTAATCACAAAACTTCAATCCATATTGTAACAGAATTTTAAATTATGTCTTTATTCTAGAGAAAATTTAGTCCAAACATAAGGAATATTTTGTTGATGTTTGACCATGAAAATCTTAAACATAAACAAGTTGTCTAAAAATGTGCTACAACACGCATACAGTATAATCCTTTATCTTTAATTTCCTTCTGCATTTGTGTAAAAATACCTAGTCAGTTTTACGTAAAACGTTAAATGCCGAACGCTTATTTTGCTACTTTTTCGGACTAGTAAAAAATGGACTCTTAATTCAGTTCAAGTAAAACGGTCTGGTTTTTCGGCTACACCCAGTGTTTTACTATATGCGTTTTAACCGAACAGGTAAGACTGACAGGTAAAACGTACGTGTAGACTGAGCTTAACTCGTAAACAGTAGATATTTTTCATTATTGGCTTATTTAGTTAGAATTAAGTATCGGTAAGAGTGTAAATTATATTCCGTAACTACAAATCACTTGCATATCTATAAGGAATTTATATTATACCGCCTCGGGCAAAATTAACAATTTCAAATTATAATATTTAAAGTAAACCATTGTGTGTTGACAAACAATCTATATGTAGAAAAATATTGACCTTAATTTTAACCTGAATAGATGCAGACATCCCATAAAAAATGCCGCTCTTAGCATAAAGTTTATAACATCATAAAATGCATCAGTGCGAAGGTTTAGAAAATATAATTTTATTATAAACAATATATGCCCTAATAAAATAAGTAGATATCATATAAACCGAACGAACTGCACTAAAATACAGATAGGTAAACAATTTCAACGAAAATAATATTTATAAAGAATTACTTAATACATTTACATGGACTCACCTACGCTATAATATACGTGTGTTTCTTTGGATTGACTATATTTAGACCACTTCCGCGAAATATTCCGGAATAGTTAGGTATACATTGATATGTTATGCAAAGTATAATATTAGCAACTGACATAAGTCACCTACTGTCTAATGAGGATTTTCGAGGGTATTGTTGTAGGTGAAACTTATCTGCTTAGGTATCTTTTACGAGAACAAATACAGGCTATAATGATGCTACGAAATATGTAGATATACCGGGTGTTGCATCGTCGAGCGGGACATAGGAAATCCCATGTAAATTTTAATGGGGTCAATTATTGGCTTCCCTAATTATTTTAGAGAATAATTCTATTTAGGTTTATTGAACAGCACTAAAACCCACATTCAAAAGAATAACTTTAGATATTTTTGATTAGCCCGTTTACGAGTTATCGCCGATTTCATTTTAAATATTTCTCCTTTCTAATGGCACTTGCTTTTTATTTACATATGAGCACCAGTCAAAGTAAAAGATAACTGTCAAATGAAGTTGTCATTTCAGAAATTTATCTATTTAGTGCTTTATTATTATTATTAAAAACTCATACCTACATCGAAAATATTAGCCATGAATTACACTACCGAAGAAAAAGTATTGATGATTAAATGGTATTATCAAGGAAATAGTCATCAAAAAGTGTCGGACATGTTACTCAATACTCATGCTGCTCTGTATCCGAAAAGACCGATACCTGGAAAATCTACAATCGCAAGCAATATCCAGAGATTTGAGACCAAAGGTACCCTAATAAATAACTGCAGATGTGAAGCAAGACAGGAAAAAAGAGAAGATGCAAGAAATGATACCGACTTGGAAGTTTTATTGTGCGTGGAAGAGAACGATGGAAAGATCAGCACAAGGAAACTTGAGGATGAAATAGGAATAGATCACACTACAGCGTTTCGAATTTTGAAACGACATTCAATCCTTCAAATATGAAAACTCCTTCAAATATGAAAAGCACCAAGAGCTACGAGATGGGGACGAAATACGGCGGCAGGCGTTTTTTTTTTTGATATGATGGAAAGAGCAAACACGGATAGGGAATTTTTAAAAAACATATGTTTCACTGACGAATGCACGTTTACCTTAAATAATGAACTCAATGTTCAAAATTATCGATATTGGAACAAAGAAAACCAACACAGGTTTGTCGAAACAAGGACGCAATATCCACAGAAAGTACATGTTTGGGCAGGGATATTCGGACACAATATTATCAGGCCATTATTTCTTACGCGAAATTTAAATGCAGAATATTATTTGGAACTACTCGAAAATCTTAAACTAATTTATAAAAAAAAATTTACTTGCTTTACATGATGCCGCTAGGGAAAATCAGGAAGTTTGGTACCAAATGGATGGCTGCCCGGCACATAGTACCCTGGCTGTTCGGGAATATTTAGACAATAGTTTTAACGGAAACGTTATTGGCCTATATCATACAGTAAATTGGCCAGCAAGGTCTCCTGATATTTCGCCAAATGATTTCTTTCTCTGGGGCCATTTAAAAAACAGGATATACAAGGATAAAAACCAAATCTAGACGAGTTAAAAATGCTATTTCTGCCGAATACAATAGAATTTCAGTTTACCAACTAGCGAATGTAAGAAGAGAATTTTATGATCGCCTGGGTTATTGTCTAGCAGTCGATGGAGGAATATTTGAACATCTTAAATCCTAAAGTTCTAACAATTTAATAGTACCTAAATTAATAAGTTATTGAATATTGTAATAATACTATAATTAACCTTGTAATTGATTACTTTATTTTACTTTAATTCATATTAATTTGTATTTATAAATCTTATAAATACATCTTTAAGATTTCCGATGTAGGAATGAGTTTTCAATAATAATAAAGCACTAAATAGGTAAATTTCTAAAATGACAACTTCATTTGACAGTTATCTTTTACCTTGACTGGTGCTCATAAGTAAATACAGGGCCATAAGAAAGGCGAAATATTTAAAAAGAAATCGGCGATAACTCGTAAACGAGCTAATCAAAAATATCTAAAGTTATTCTTTTGAATGTGGGTTTTAGTGCTCTTCAATAAACCTAAATAGAATTATTCTCTAAAATAATTAGGGAAGCCAATAATTGACCCCATTAAAATTTACGTGGGATTTCCTATGTCCCGTCCGACGATGCAACACCCGGTATAGGTACAGTGTGAAGAAATCAGAAGCTATGGACAATGTGCTTGAATTTTTAAATTTCTTGAAACAACATCTACGTATTTCTATCCGATATTTAAAAGCCATCAGCAAAAATATGTTTTCAGAATTACTAAAAATATATTAGATGGACTGTTTTAGTCGTGCAGACACGCCCACATATTCGCGTGACTGAAAACGGGGCGTTCCAAGCTGTGACGTCACCCCGCGGACGCGCTTTGCCGTTTAGATGCAATTTAACGGCTAGAGTGAATTTGTATAGCGATTTTTATTTAATTTTCTTGTATTCGGGGTTAAAAGAGTTAGAACAATACGGAAACAGAGTTTCTACAAACTCAAAATTAACTCATGTGGAACTTTATTATACAAAATTCCTTTTGACGATTTCTTTGACTTTTTGATGATATGTCTCATTTAACATTTTTAAGCAGAACGCGAAGAGATGGGTAATGGTACTTTAGTGTTTAGAGACATAACTCTATATCTATCGTAGATCGTAGGGGTACACCGTTTTTCGGAAAAGTGGGTAATTTATTATTTGACCACTCTGTACCCTGCATGTGGTAGAGCCGAGCAAAGCCGAGCAACTATCAAGTTTAAATGATTAACAAATTCTAGATTCTGACTCGTCATGTTAAAATCAGCCTAGAAACATAGTTTTATATCAAATATAGGGGTAGGTACTCTGTACTGTGTTTTCCGAAAAAGTGGAGTGCGATTTTTTTTTTATTAGGATACCCTGTACTAGCTATCACATTTAAATAAACAAAAAATTCCAGATTCGCACTCATCATATCAAAATCACTGTAGAAACATAATTTTTAGTGACGGGAAAAACCGAGTAATTTCCATGATTCAAAATTTCAAGCGATTTCAATAATCGACCGATCACTTGAGCAAAATTTCGCTCGTATTTAAAAATACGGCTTTTCGCCTGTCGCTTGCCGATGCATTAATGCCGGACCCTGTATATGTTATAAAAGTATAAAAATTATAATTGTTACTCAGAGTCGAACGAAATATTAAATTGAATCGTTTCATTGATTTCTTAAAAAAATCCCTCCAAAGTAAACTAAAAAATTAACAAGTTTGAATAAACACTTTTGAGCAAATTCGTCGTCATCGGTGTTAATTAAATTTGTATTTTATAAACATTATAATTCGGTATATAAGAAACGTTTTAAAAGATATAATTTCAGTTACGAAAAATTTATATTGTAGTGTAGTAGGTTTATCAATAAGTTTCAAAAATTTAAATACCGAGAAATAATTATGTTCCGATTCGTTGCAGCCTTATTTATTTTAGGTATCCTTCCTTATAAAGCTGTTATTGGAAGCACAGAGTTCCCACAAGAAGAAGCCGTTGAAACTACAACAATTGATTATAACGATAAAAATGATTCTACTAAAGATGTATACGTCATTAGAAAGGTGGTTTATGAAATTGGGATTTTAACAGAGACGGACAACAATACAAACTTTGATAATAAGACTCACGAACAAGTTGATATATCATTCTTCGACCCAGCTGATAATGGAACGTTTATTGATCTTTCCAAAATTCCCATTCCAGTTGAAGCTAACATCAGCGGCGTTGCCGTTACAGGCATCGTAACATCCAACATCGGCGGCTTAGTTTTTCCCTCGAACGACAGCGCTAAACCTAAGGAAAACAGTTTCCCAATTTTTCCGGATAAGCAGGTGAAGGTAACTAGGAATATATCTACAACGGACCAAGAGCAGAGCGCCAATATTTTGTCAGGTATATCTGATGTATTGGGCCTCTCTAAGTTAGTAAATACCAAACCTATCCAAGAAGAAGATGATAATGCAAACCAGTAGAGATAATAAGTAACTAATAGTACACAGGCCTTAAAAAATATTATTGGTAATGGAACAAATATGACACAAATATTTACTACATTAAAATATCAGCAGGATTGTAGATATGTAACGTATATACCTTTATGGTTGGTTCTTTTCTTGAAGAAAAGCTCTGGGTTTTTGGCCTCTGGAAGAGGGGCCCATAAGATGGAAGGGTTACTTTTTGAGGACACCACAGTGTTGAGGCCAAGCTTGTCGGTGGCTCTTTTCTGGCAGGACAGATTTGCCTAGCCGGCAAAAAATGCTTAGCATTTTTGAAGGTATATTTTAATTACCCTGCAAATTTGTTGTAAACGTAATATTTTGTAATGTTTATATTATAGGGCTGTTACTTGTTTTTCTTTACATTTTAAGTATATTGACTGTTTTTTTATTATATAAATATTTTTAGTAATTTATAGTAATGTAATAATGTATTTAAATATAATAAACAAATGATGTTATCGTGGGGACTGTAATAAAAAAGAAAAACGAAATTATCGGGCATAATCTACAGTAAGATTACCCATGAAACAGTACGAAAATATAACTACCCGTAGATACATAGTGTTTCTGCCTTCCGGCTTCATCAATACGGGAGGAATCAGCAACAGTGAACTAGTGATCCTGAAAAAAAAAGGGAAGCAAACGAGGCACGAGGTACATTTAGCTCACAATTCGCGACCATTACTACCGAAAAACTGAGCTACTGGCTTTACCATGTTGCAAATGATGCCTCATGCCTCGTTTGCTTTTCTTTTTTCAGGATCATTGGTGAAGCCGGAAGGTAGAAACACTAAGTATCTACGAGTAGTCACACTTTCATGGCTAATCTTACTGTAGGTTTTGCCCGATAATTTCTATTTTTTCTTTTTTAAATATAATATTTATAGTAATTTTATTAATAGAATATTCAGAATTGTTAACATATCTGTGAATGAACAGCTTTTGCTCCTGATGCAGAAGTTTTTATGATTATTGCTGTAAAGGTCTAATTTTAGAACAATAAAATATTATTATTATATCTCCTCCGGTCGTCAGAAGCAAATAAAATGTCTAAATACAACTATCCAAGAAAACTTGTAAAAAATGTAATTGTTACTAAGAATCAAAAGAAATATTATTAAATTTTAATCGTTTCATTGATTTATTTTAAAAAAAATCATCTAAAGTAAACTGAAAAATTAACAAGTTTGAATAAACACTTTTGGGCAAACTCGTCGTCATCAGCGTTAATTAAATTTGTATCAATGACTAAAGAATACAAGGACTAATAACACCCGAGACCAAATTGTTACCATACCCCCAAATAGTGCCGTACCATAGCTGCTTGAAGAGGTATTTATATGTTTGATAAATGTTTTGACTAGGCCTATGGTGTATGCGGTGATATCATACTAATTAATTACGAAAAAAACGTATAAAAATTTTAACAAAAGGTACAAAACTAGTATCGGGTATGGCACATATCAAGTACAGGGTGTCCCACTAAAAATAGCTCTCGGCTGTATCTCGGAAAGTATTAGCCGTAGCGGCTGCGGAAAAAAAATATTGAACGACCGCTAGGGGGCGCAACTGCAACAAAAAATAAGAAAATGGAGTTTTTACACAATTTTGCCTAGATAAAGTGTACTATAAGTAACAGCTTCATAATCTTCAGTAAATTTTGAATATTTTTTGTTAGAGCCATTTTCCCCTATCTACCAAAATAAAGTGGTGGGGTCAAGTCAACTTGTTAGATCTGTTTTTATTTGAATATTAATAACTCTGGACTGGATGATCGGAATCCAACAAGCGAGGGCTCGTTTAAAAGAGCGTTTCTTACTCTATATTGTACCATATAAACAATAATAATAAGCTTTTGAACGTAAACGCTAGGGGGCGTTGTCTTGCAATTTAACAATTGCGCGTTTTTTCAAAAAAAAAATGCAACAGTATATTTTAGCTGATAGTAAAGAGTAGTAAAAGCTTAAAAAGTCAGCAAAAACCGCATCTTGATATCTTCTTTCAAACCGAAGATATTAGTAAAATTATAATAAATACCAAAAAATAAGCCCTTAATTACCTTACTTTTACAACGCGGTATCAGTAGCCCTCTTGATTATGCCCATTCTAACCTAAAAATAAGATAGAAACAGTTTATTTTAAAATCGACGATATACCAGAATATATCATAATATCAGATGGATTAATAACTAATAATTAAGATATTAATAATAGGAATATATAAACAAGGATAATAGTAAACAAGAAACGATGATTCAGTGAAGTCATGGTAAGCTTTGGAAAAAAGTTGCTTTTGACGTAATAGTATAAACGTCAAATTGTTATTAGATCAACATTTTGATAGTCTTTTTGAAGGGCATTTTGAAAAAGCATTTAAAAGATAAAAAACGCTGCTAAGACTATCAAAATGTTGATCTAATAACAATTTGACGTTTATACTATTACCTACGCGAAAAGCGACTTTTTTCCAAAGCCTACCATGACTTCACTGAATCATCAGTGTTGCCAACCAGAAAACTACGAATATCGCTACGTCACTACACAAATTCCGCTACTCCCCGCTACGGTCGTGTCATTTCTAATTTCACTACAAATCTAGTCTATTTTGGAATTATGATTTATATAGATACCATTTGGCAATTGATTTTTTTCAATATAAAAAAAATTACAGCAAAATAAGCACTTTTATTTTGTAAACATATAAATATAAACAATAAATCACAAATAAATCCTTATCTGGAAAAATGGAAAATAAATCAAAAATATATTTTCTCTTTAAAAGATAAACATACACTTAAATTAACTAACTCTAATCGTGCTCTAATCTGAATCAGACGTGTCAGTGTCACAAACATTTTCTTTGGGGGCGGTGGACCTAGTTGCCTCATTTTTGGTTTTAAATTGGTACATGAACTGATTAAATTTTTGAAAATGGCTTTCGCTAATTGCATAACTCGTGCAGCATTTATTTTTGGTTGCTAAATCAATTTTTACTCTGAGAATATCACTCAGAGTATCAGGTGAAAGGCGATTTCTTTTTTTTGACTTAACATCAGTCATTATTGAAAACACTCTTTCCACGTCCGCGTTGCCGTGAGTTAAAGTAAGGATGATCAGAGCAACTATGCTGATATTTCTAAATAAATGCTCATCGTTAAAATTTTTCATGTCCAACAAAGTTGTCCAGAACGTAATTACATCATCGCATGTTAGACTTTCTTTTTCTTCTTCAGAAAAATATATTTTTATATTATTATATTCAGTTATAGCTTTTACGGGGTCTATTTTATTTTTAAATGTGTTACAAATTTCATCAATATCATGTTTTAGATTTACATTCAGAGCATTTTGCGGTTGTACAAATGTAATATTTTTATAAAATTTATCTTTAGTAGGCAATCTTTTAAATGCTTGGGCAACGGCTACTTGATAAAATTTCAAACACTTAAGTTTAAATTGTTCGTTATCAGCTTTGATACAATCTTTGAGTAAATTCATGGTATTCAAACCCACATTAATTTCTTCCACCGGAAGCAACACATTTGGATCAAATACATTTAATAGATCAAGTTCAACCTCACTCGTATAACAGGAGGGTTTGACAAAGTTTACACATAGTATCTTCACAAATCTTCTACTCTCTACATACATTTTATCTACAAGGACTTTGGAAGACTGAAACATAGCATTAAATGAATTAAAGATCGGAAGAACGTGTTTTAAAAATAGAAGATAAGCTTTGACATAGGGATTTTGCATTTCATTAAATATCATATTGCCTACTTGATTTTTATCTTCAAAGGCAGCTACTCGGAAGACTTCTAAAAGAACATCCCACTGATCAATTAGCCTTTCAACACAATTTGATAGTGCCAACCATCTGGTTTTGCTGGGGCTTATAATTTTAAGTTGAGCTGCCCGCATAAATTGTTGAAATTCTTCTAAAACTGACTGTCTCTTTGGACTTCTAGAAAAATAATTGGAGATATTTTGCAATAATGCTTCTATATTACTTGGCAATTCTTGGCTAGCGGCAGCAGCAATTAAATGAGCCGAGTGACACACACATCCATTTACAACAATATGGTGATTTTCGTTTAAGAGATAAGTCTTAAATGATTCTTTGTTCCCCATCATGACACTGGCGTTATCAGAGCAATAACCCACAATATTATTCACGCTTAAATTAAAATCAGTCAGACATTTTTTAAACAGGGAATAGAGACCTTTTGCTGACCCCTCATCAGCCTTGATGGGAATTAAGTCTAATAATTCGGTTTTGATTTTGTTTTCATAAATATATCTAACTAAAATACACAGGTACCGATAATTGCTGATGTCTGTACTTTCATCTACAAGAATAGAAAAACTGTTATTCTTCAGTTCACCACACAATGCCTCTTTAATTGTAGATGCAAGTACGTTTTTTAAAATGCTTGTGCATTTTGTACGCCTTAATTGCATATTTTTTGCGATTTTCGAATCACTAAAACTTAATTTACAAGTGTCGGTTACATGGTCAATAGAACTAAAACTAAAATTATGAGATGCAGCTAACAAAGTAAATCTGATATCTGCTATTATTAGATTTTTATCTTGTTTAGAAGACTGAAATATTTCAGTAATTGGTCTAGTTATTTGCGTTAAGTTCATATTTTTTAAATGTTTCTGACTTTTCCCATGGCTTAACAAATCACTTCTTTTGGTCCCTAAATTCAACTGGCATACTTTACACTTAGCTTTAGCTGGATCTTCAGTTGGTAGTAGCCATCGCTTAAAAATATCTTCTTCCATCCACTTTCTGGAAAAAAGTTGTTTTCGGCTTTTCTTTTCATCTCTGGCCAGTTCGTGCCTCATTGCCCTTTTCTTTTTCGGAGTAGATGATCCGCTTTTTCCTATATCAGAATCAGATAACTCAGACATATTGCGCCCCTGAAATGAGTGCAAATTATGTAATTTTTTATTGTGGTATTTATGCATATTTAGATATGTATTCTGCTTGAATGCATGTATATATGTATAAATCATATTAGCATACCTTTTTATAATACTAAATACACGTACAACCTACATTGCTTTTGTTTTGTTTACTTTAAAAGATTTTGGGAACCACCGAGAACTAGTAAATAGCGATCAGCGCACTAGAGCCTAGAGCCCTCTACCGCTCCCGGCGCTCTCTAACACATTTTACCTGGCACGCCACAGTGCCGGTTGATTGATTGATTGATAGATGTCGCTGCCTTGTTGATTTGAGTTTTAGTTAATAATAAATAAGATTAATATATAATAAAACACATAACTTCTTACTGCTCATAATACTTATGATAAATAATCTGTTTTAGAATGTTGACGTCATTACACGCGTCTAAGAGAATTAAAATATTCCGCTACGTCTTACTGTCATTTGGTTCCGCCGCCGCTACACCGCTCTTGACGGTAAATTCCGCTATGCGTAGCGGAAT